GGCTTTAAGAACCTTTTATTAATACAGTTAACTTGGAATGCCAATCAAAATATCAGCAATTGAAATGAACAGACAATTCTCCAAAGAAATTCAAATGATCTGCAAGTATGTACATGAAAAATTGTTCATTGTCTTTGCTTAATAGAGAAATACAAATCAAAACAACACTGACATTCCATTTTACTCTGATAAGAAAGGCTATTAATCAAGGACTCAAATGCTGGCTAAATTGTCGAGAAAATAGAAACCTTTCTACATGGTTGGCAGGAACGTAAATTGGTGCGACAACTATGGAAATCATCATGAAGATTCTTTAGAAAACTAAAACTAAAAATTCAGTTTGAGCCATTTGTGAGTCTGATTATCTTTTCAAAGAAGTCAAGGGCAGCACATCACAGTGATACATGTATACCCTATTGATAGCAAGTAGCACAATTCAAAGTAATTAAATAATGGAAGTGGCCCACGTGCCCATAGATGGATAGAAAAAGAGGTAGTTTACATAGAAAATGGAGTATTATTCAGTCCTAAAAGGATAAGTTCATTTGTTGGAAAATGGATACATCTTGAGAGTATAATGTTAAGTGAAATAAATCTGATACAGAGGTTAAATATCATAGGGTTTCTCTAATATGAGAAAACTAAAATATAAACAAAGAGCAAAATAAAATAGATAATAAGAAACAGGGAGATAGATTTGGAGACGGGAAGAGGACCAGGAGAAGGAGGGAAAGGGAGGAATAAAATTGATCAGGATTAACCAGCTCAACAAACTGCCTGACTAAAATTGGGCAGCAGATTCAAACATGCATTTCCTCACCAAAGATCTACAAATGGCTAAAAAGAGCATGAAAAGATATTAAGTTATCACTATTAGAGAAATTCAAGTTAACAGCACAGTAAGATAACATACCTATTAGAATGACCACTATAAAAAAGAAACCAAAATAACAAATTTGGCCATGCATAAATTGGAATTCTTGGATATTACTGGCAAGATTATCAAATTGTGCATCTGATGTAGAAAATGCTATGGCATTCCTTAAAAACTAAATATATATTACTGCATTATCCAGGAATTCCATTTCTGAATTAATATCTGATTAAATTGAAAGCAGGGGCACAAAGGGATAACTACACACTCAGAGTCACAGCAGCATTATTCAAAGGGTGAAAGCAAATGAATTTATCCATGGATAAGCAAAATATGGTATGCATATGTATATATATATATATATATATATATATATATATATATATCTCCCCAAAATATTAAAGTTTTGATATATGCTACAACATAGATGAATCTTGATGACATTATGCTAAGTGAAATAAATCACACACTTTAAAGAACAAATGTTCCAAAATTCTGCTTATATGAAATTATAAAGAAGCCAAATTTACAGAGATAGAAAGTAGAATACTAGAAATCTGAGCTACTTACTAGAAGGGCGAATTAGGAGTTATTGTTTAATAGATATGGGGTTTCAGTTTGGGATAAAGACAAAGTTCTGGAGATATTTGTTCAAGAACGTGAATACAGTTAATGGCCCCACTTAACTAAACACTGAAAAATGATTAAAATATTAAGTGTAAATTTAAATAATAAATTGTAAATTTTAGGCTATACTGTATTTGGCTGTGGTTGCAATGCTGGCATTCCCCCTCCCCCCATTCCTGTTCTGAGGCCCAGTCCTGAATGTGGATGATAATAGGAAGTAGGACCTTTGGGGGATTACCAGGTCTGAGAGTGTAGCCCTTATGAATGGGATCAGTGACCTTACAAATAAGGCTGAGGGAGTGTGTCTGCCCCTCCACGAAATGAGGAATAAACGATTTGTGAGCTAAAGAGCAAAGCTTCAGCACCGTCAAATCTGCTGGCTTTTGATGTTAGATTTTTCCACTTCTAGAATGGTAGGGAATAAATTCGGTCATTTACAAGCCACTCAGCTCAGTGTATTTTGTTGTATCAGTTTTTAACAGACTAAGACACACCTCAGAACCTAAAACCAAAGCCAAACTGAAACAAAAACCCCCAAACAAACAAACAAACAAACGAAAAAACCTGAGTTAATTATTTACTGAAAAGCATTAGACTATTTTGTCATATACCATTATCTCAAACATTCAGGATAGAATCCTCTTGGCTGTCTGGTTAACAGATGTTACATTTATATTTGTGAGGACATTGACCAATAACCTTGCACAATGAAAATAATGGCAGCTACTGTTTATTATTTTTCTATTGGGTGCCAAGATTGTATATGAGTGATCTCAATGAATCAGTATGGCCAATCCATGAAAGATCTTTATTATCTGTTGTTTAGCCACTCCATTTTCTTCTCTTGAACCCTTGTGCCGCTCTTAGGATGTTAATGGATGAGGGACACGAATCAGGGTGGAAGGGTATGGGATAAGGAAACGGACAGAGCGATGTGGATTACGTGTTTGTGAAAATCATTTCATTGTTTAAAAAATAAATTTAACTGAGCCTCGTCTTGATCCACCATTTTGGGTTGCTGGGGACAAACTCAGGAGAGGCTGCTGCTGGGTCCTGCTGCAGACAAAGCCTTGGAGGCAGATAATGGTGGAAAGCTGGGATGAGGACCCTGCCCACATCTGCAACACTGATTAACAGACAGATGTTACCAGTCCTGACAAGAGAAGGAATAAGCAAGCTGAGTTTTGAGCATAAAAAGTAAAATTGCCTGGTGTGAAGGCATACGCCTGTACCCCCGGCATTCAGGAGGCTGACGCAGTAAAAGTGCTGAGTCCAAGGCCAGTCTGGGCTATATAGTAAGTTAGAGGCCAGTTTGAACTGCATAGCGTGACTATTTTAAAAGGGTGGGGCGGGGAGGGTTATAAAAACAGCAAAGCCCTAAAGGCAGTTTTCTTAGCCTATCATGACCTAGGCAACAGGAACAACTGTGCATTCTCTGGGTTCTTCTGACAGTGGCTCAGTGTCTGACTGCAAATGTATGGCCTGAGCCTGAGCTCCGGAAGACTGCTGTCCCCACGCGGTCCTTTTCCTGAATCTGCAGCTCACCGCTGAGCATGCAGGCGGCGTCGGAGCAGGCGCACTGCGCTTCGCCGGGCCACACAGCCACGCCTCTCTGTTCAAACCGCAGTCCAGGCTGAGCCCGGGGCGTCCTGGTCCTCATCTCTCCCGGTTTCTAGTGGCTTTCTCTCTTTTGAGGCCAGAGACTTTTGTCATTGTACTGATTACTGGTGGGTAGTTTCTGGCAACTCAATGGCGCACCCTGCTGGAAAAATTCTGCGCCAGATATGCCACCTGGGAGGGAGGGAGAGGGAGAGGGAGAGGGAGAGGGAGAGGGAGGTGGGAGGTGGGAGGTGGGAGGTGGGAGGTGGGAGGTGGGAGGTGGGAGAGGCCCTAGACTGTCCCTATCACTAGTAGTAGAAAGCACTCTGATAAATCACTAAATTGACCCCTACAGGGTCTGGTCAAATCTCCGCTCTTGTTTGACATTTGTAGTTCATAAAGGTGGAAGAAATTCTTTGTAGCTATCTTTGTTTTGTCTTTTTTTTTGAGACGGGGTCTGGCTATGCAGTTCAGGCTAGCCTGGAGCTCACTTTGTAGCCCAGGCTGGTCTCGAACTTGCAACGATCCTCCCACCTCGGGCTCCCGAGTGCTGGGATTACAGGCGTGAGCTACCATGCCCGGCTGGTGGAAGAAATTCTCAGTAATTACTTCCACCTCTCTCTTGATCCAGAGACTCCATATAAAAAATTCTTTATTAGTGGATTGCTTAAGCACAGAATTCAATATTTACTTTTTAAAGACTTATTTATTTAGTGTCTTTTCGAGACAGGGTTTCACTATGCAGTGTAGGTTGACCTTGAACTCACTTTGTAGCCCAGGCTGGCCTCCAACTCACAGCCATCTTCCTTCCTCAGCCTCCTGAGTGATGAGATTACAGGTGTGAGCCACCATGCCCAGCATAATTCAATATTTATGTGCATATAAAAAATCCTAATTCTTTCTGCTTTACCCAGTGTGTGGGAGGCAGAAAAGAGGATTTCTCTTGATCTCTGTGGGCAACTGTTTTAAAACACTGTCTCCATATTCTACTTAATATATGTATATGTCTTACACTGCATCATATATCCAATAACATTTTTATTTGCTGCTAAAAAACTTAAAACTTATTGGCAAAATTTTGCCTTTGAAATTGTTTGCCTGTGTATAATTTATTTATTAAATACCTCACCAATCAATGCATTCTTGAGAATTTTTGCAAGCAAGAAAAACTAATAAATTTTATTCATAAATCCATGAAATGTCTAATAATTAATGAAGTTGATATGTATTACTGACATTTAAATAAATATTAACTTTGATTTTGAATTTTCATTTTTGTATTTTTAAACCCTTGCCTCTTCCTTCTCCTCCTTCTCTCTCTTCTTCTTTCTTCTTCTTCTTCTTCTTCTTCTTCTTCTTCTTCTTCTTCTTCTTCTTCTTCTTTTTCTTCTTCTTCGGTACTGGGAATTGAACATAGGATCTTGTACTTGTCAGGCAGGTACTTATACCCCTTCCTTCTATCAAGTTCCAAATGGTTTAAAAAACTCTTAGGCCTTAAATATAATGCCATTACATAAATAAAATTGTACAGCCAATTTTAAAGCTTATGTGGTTAGGTATTAAGGGTAAGTTAAATTAGATCATATGAAACTGCTGAGAAGAGTTGTTTTGTTTTTTTAAAATACAGGCAATTTCACAAGATTTAACCTAACACTTTTTGGTTACAAGTACAGACACGTTTTTCCTTGGAGACATGGAGTTAAATTGGAGAGCTAAGGTGCATAAAAGTGCTGTCCACGTGTTAGGCGTTCAGCGAGTTATTTGCTAAATGAAAGCATGTACATATAAATGAATAACCAAACCAAATAGCTATGTAAATAAGAACTAAATTGCATGGTACAGCCTTTTGGTAGTGGAACTGGCAGAATGTATTAATCACACAAAGCAGTTTGGCAATAGCTTTAAAGTTAAACCAACATTTTTGTTTTTAATTTAATTTTGTTTTATTAGCAAGGGATTGGTGTTGCCTGTGGGAAAAAGCAGTGCTGGCATATTTAACTGCTGACTCTTCATTAGGGAAAGAAGAATGGAAACATTATATAGGTTGGGGGTGCATTGTAGACCTAAGAGAGAAGAGAATTCAGAGGTTGGTAGGATTTTCATGATGCGTGTTGCATTGCACTTGGCAGCGAGGACTATTCCAGGGGCAAGATCTTACATTGGAAAGTCCTGGTGATTTTTGGTTCCATATGTTCCAAGAAAAGCCAAAGCTCTACTTTGTTATGAGCCGGGAAAGAGATTGCTAGTCCTAGAGAAAACAAAAAATGATCAAATTTTAATGATTAATAGGATTTGGCTTTGGGCCCACCCATCCATCCATGATTACATCCTTCCCCTGTTGCATCAAGATGTGCCATATTTTCTAGGTGCTGGGGCAAGAAGAGTGTGAGGCACATTTCTAAACCATTTGTTTTGTGAAGGGAAAGTTAATGTATTGAGTGTTGGAATAGTAAAGAGCAAAGTGTTCAGGAAGCATAAGGAGAAAACTGACTGCTGGAGAAACTGGAGAAATTTTCATCACAGAAGCTAATTGGCCTGGTTATCCGACAGAGACTTTCTACCCTGCCTAAGATTGGAATAACAATTAGATTAAACAGAAAGAAAGAAATTAAACCCAAAACATAAACAAACTGTGCCCAAGCAGGTTCCACCAGAAGTTCTGGTTTGTTTTGAGATAGATATGTTTTATGTTGATATTCTTTGTTTTTGAAGCTAAGCAGGTAATCATAATAAGCAATCAGTTTGAGAACCACTAGTCTAAAACAAGTAGAAACACAAGAGTGAGATGGCATTAATCAAGAGAGGAAAAAGATGGAATCACTCCAGGCTAAGTGAATGGTACAGAAATAGAAAAATGGTGTGTGAGGGGTTTCAGTCCCATTTGTGTTCAGATGCCCCCCACCCCACCAAGCCTCATGGACGCAGCTGAATCTAGTGTTTGTGATTGGTTTGTTGTCCATCGCTGGGATTGGTGATGTGAGTGCCAAACCTGCCCAGGGGTGGAGCTGACATACAGTGTAAGGGTAGGAAAAAAGTTGTGTCTTTTTTCTTTTGCTGTGTTCACTGTTACTGTTTGTGGTGGTCACTAATGGTTGTCTCTCAGCCATGCCTTCCTGCCTTGGATCCAGCTGAGTATGGCCTGAAACTTCCAAAGGGTAAGAAATAAAACTTCCCTTGCTTCATTTTGGGCGTCAGGTATTTTGTCTCAACAATTGAGAGAAAAGTAACTGAGACAATCAGGGTAGGCCCAGTTTATATGGTTCTAACATCTCAGCAAAGAATTTGTAGACCATCTCGAAGGTGTGAAAAGTCAACTAGGAAATACCAGTGACATGATAAAATTTCACTATGGGGGAGGGAACTGATTTTTTTTTTATCCCAGGAACTCAAAATGTGGATCCTGAGTCAAGAAGTTTACATAAAAACTGATGAAAAATGGATGAAAATAAGAGGCCTTTGCAAGAAGCACACCACACCAGCCCTAGGAATAGCTTTTGTACTGTCGATAGGATTTCCATAGGAAATAATTTCCAGCAATGACTGACCCTATAGTAAAAAATTACCAAGCATTCAAAGAAAAAGTGTCATGAGAATGAGTTCATAGCCTTAGAAGAGCCACACAATGCAGGGACTATGTATATATAAAGAAGAAACCTGAAAGAGATTTCCATGTAACAGGCTTAATATTTTCTAAAAAGATAAAGGATAAGAAAGAAAAAGAGCACTAAGACTTGAAAAGGAATTAAATAGAAATTTTAGAAAAATAATTTTTAAAAAATTCTCAATTAAAAAGAAGACTCTACGTAATTGAAAAAAAGAATTGGAAAATTAGAAGCTGGAATAGACAAAAAAATTCACAAAAAAAGCAGTAAAGTATTCCACATTAAAATAGATAAAAACTCAATGATCTAAGTACCAACTGGCAAGGATTTTAGGAGAGTATACTTTTTGAAATGTAAAGTACTGGATTACATATATTTATAAATGCAAAACATTATCAGCATATATTTATAGATCAATTATCCCAAAATTTAAGTTAATTCCCAACTTACATATTTTATTACAGTATCATTTGAACACTCGATGAAAGCATAATTGAACAATAAATTTGAGATCAAATTTTTGTTGCAGAAAACTATATATATATATATATATATAAATAATTGTTTTAGGAATTTTATTCTAAGAATCTGTGTTGGTTTAATCAAACACTGTGAACTACGACTGGTGTAGAAAGTCAATCTTACCAGCTAATTTTATGATGATTAACTCTTGGACTAAGATCTTGCTGATTTACTAGGATTCTAATTATTTCTACCAGAATGAAAGACAGAAGAGTCTCTTATATTAGAAACTTGGTTAAAGCCATTCTTCTTTGTAAAAAGAAGAAAAAAATATTATTCCAGGGAATTAAATTTAAAATGAAGAATTTGGGTTTTTTTTTTTTAAGCACTAGTAAAGTTAAAAATGCAAAATGAAAATCTAGCAAAGACCATTTAAGGATTTTTTAAAACATGCAAAATGACACAAAATATTTATTGGTACATATATATTTCATATAAGAACAAATATGGGCTGGAAGTATATATATTATAACGATATGAAACTGATTTTATTAAAACTGATTATATAAATTGTAAGACAGAGAAAGGCAATAGGATTTTTGGAGTGATAAGGGGTTGTAGTACCAGTTACTGGACTCACTGTTTTTCTTTAAAAATATTTCTGAAGTATACAAACTATGTCTATGCTATGTATACATAAATATGCATGCACATATATATACACAATACAAAAATACATATATGAAGTATAAATGATATAAATGTGTTTAGCATTTGTTAATTCTAGATGGTGGGTATGCATCTTTGTTAAATGTCTTTAAATGTATGATATATACCTTGTTTATGATTAAAAATTAATTATAGTTATCTAAAAATATATACAGGGGTAAGATGTTAAAATGACATATAAAGACTGATTTGTCCCTTTTCACTGTTCATTTCCTGTTTATCCTCTTTATATGGTTAATATAGAAGTTGAATATAAAATAAGTGCTAGTTTTCAAACTAAATAACCCCAAACTGAATATTTTTTTCAGAATGCTAGGATTGCAGACATGTGCCACTGTGCCTGGCAGTGGACTGTATTCTTCTTTTTTATTTTATGAAAAACCCCAAAATTTATAACAAAAATAATAAGAGAAAAATAATATTACACTATGTATTATTATTTTCAAAATAGTTACTCAGAATCAACAGGAATTTTCTCTTAAAAAGAAGAAACAGGTAATAGCACAAAACTTTCTTCTCGATGAACTACAAGACACTAGTAGCACAAATGAAATGAATTAGCATATGTATTAAAATATTTTTGATACATCAGAACAGGCAAGTTAGGGAATTATTCAAAATTTTCCCTACTTTATATTTTATCTATTTCATTTTACTCTTTTCTTGTGTATGTATACTGTGATTTTCTCATGTAAGAGGACCCATGTGATGTTTAATCTTTTATGTTTGACTTGTTTCCCAAAGTTAATATTGTCCTTAATAACATTAAAACATTATTCTTACCTTACTGGAGTATTGTCTTCTTTCTGATTTGACAGGCAATTCCTTCAAAATGGATGGGGCAGGAACACAGACACAGCCCGTCCAGAAGAATCACTGTCCCCCCATTCTGGCACAGATGGCATTTGTCTACACTGAATTCATTGACATAGTCCTTAATGGCTCTTTCTAAATTTTGTTTCTTTAGGTGTGCATCTTTTATTTTCACAGGAACCAAACTATATATAGGAGACAACTGCAAGAAAGCAAAACCAATTATTTTGCCTACTGAGGAGTTCATAAAATATTCTTTATTCAATTAACGGTTCACATTTAATTAAACGGAAGTTTAAGAATGTTTATTATTTCCAGACATGATGTTAGCTTTTGAGATCATACTAGCGACCCAATCTTAGAAGTCACAGTAGTGAGGTCAGAAGACTGACTCACGCTTCCGGGAGAACATGGCGGACAGATAACAGCAACTACTGGAGGCTCTCTGAAAGACTCAGCTCAGAAGCCAGGAATGGTGCGGACTAAGGAGACATAAGCAGGTGGAGATATGCTCTGCTGACTCAGGAACGAACTGGGCTGAGAGAAACCAACTTGGAATGCATTCCTGGTGCTAAAACAGGAACAGAAAAGCCTCGGTGTGGAGGCTGGACCCCGCGCCATTGTAAGCCGCGATTTGGGTTTCCCGCCAAGCGGCGGCTGGCTGCCTCTACAGTGGCTCGGCAAGGAGAGAGACGCGCAGAAGCTCTGAGAAAGGCAATCTGCGAACGGCAGGGAGGCGTGCACTGACTTGTGGTGAGGTGAGTGAGAGAAACTGACACTCTACCACAGTTTGACTCCAGCAGAGGACTTTCTGGGCCCGAGCAGTCCTGCGGGAGCAGGGCGCGGTGGCGACTCCAGCCACACATCCCCCTCTTGGGCAGGATTGGTGAAAAGTGCCTGGCCTGCGTGACGCTGCCGGCGGACCTGGTAGGCTGTCCCAACCCAGATCCCAGAGCCTGACGGTGGCCGGGGGGGGGGGGGGGAGACGCGTAGGCTGCCTGGTCCGTAACTCCCTGGTGCGCAGCGGTGAACGAAACACCTAACTGGCGCAATTCGATCAGGCTGTGGCTGACTGGGAGAGAAGCTGGGCCTCTTATATAAGCTTGCATATATAAGGAACAGAGAATATGGGAAGAGGCAGCAACAAGAAAGGCTCCTCGGCCCCCAATTCTGAGAAACAGGCAATAGCGGACACCGCACCAATAGACATAAAGCGCCATTTAGAGAGCCTCATAGACCAATTCAGGAATGAAGTTATCAACGACCTGAAGCTAGAAGTATGCAGAATAGTTAGAGAAATGCTAAGTACCACCCAAGAAAAAACAGGTGGTGGCATGGAAGAACAGAAAAAAAGGGGAGAATTGTTTGATGGAGAAAACAGAGAAAGCATAGAATACGTGAAGCAGGTTCAAAGGGACTACCAAGATACTAAGAAGTCTATCGAAGACTGGCATAACAGCTTGAAAGAAACTAAGGACAGACTATCTGAACTGGAGGGCAGACTTATAATATGGGAGAATGAAATGAAAAACTTCTTAAAAATAACAAAGAAACAAACAGCAATAATACAAAGACAAGAAGATGATAAGAGGATCCATAACTTAAGGATTAAGAACATAAAAGAAGAAGTAGGGACACAAACAACTACAAAAGCTACTCACAGAAATAATCCAGGAGAATTTTCCTAATTTAGCAAAAGGTAAAGATACTCAGATGTATGAGGCATACAGGACCCCAGCTACCTACAACCCTAACAGAGCGACACCCAGGCATATAATAATAAAAATTCCAGAAATTCAATACAAGAACAGAATATTAAAAGCTGTCAGAGACAAGAAACAGACCACTTACAAGGGAACACCCATCAGAATTACAGCAGATTTTTCTGCACAAACCATCAAATCACGAAGAGCGTGGGGGGAAATAATTCAAGCTTTGAAAGATAATAATCTCCAGCCAAGATTGAGATATCCTGCACAACTGTCCCTGGAAATTGATGGAAAAACAAGGTGCTTCCAGGATAAAGAGGAACTGGGGGAATTTGCAACCACCAATTCAACTCTACAGAGAGTATTGCAGGATATTCTAAAAAAAGAAAAATACAAAGAATCCAGAAATAATGGCAGAGAGGCCACAACGAATGGAGCAGAGAACAAAATGAAGAAGACAAACTGACAGCTACTGACAGAAAAAGAGCTCAACAGAAATGAGGCAGAGAAGATTGGATGATAGGAATAGCTATTTTGGAGAAAATGACATCTTAATAGGTAATACTGATTTAGTATCATCTTGTTTTGAAGTCTCATCTAGCTTTTGTCCTTCTGTCTCCAATGGTCTAAATAGGCTGTATCTTATTGGATTTTATTATGTACGATAGTATAAGCAAAAACCTTTTAAAGACAAGGAGATTATACAAAAACCATTGTTCATTTTCTGTTAGTCGATTCTAAATATTCTGTAATGCTGTCATTCTCTTGAATGGTTTTACATTGTTTTGATATACTTAATGCTACAGTATACGAAGTTGTACTCAAGGATTTCAAAGAAAGAGACAATATGGTAACTACTTTTAGGTTAGGATTATCTGGTGGTGAAACACTATTCTGCTTAAATGGTTATGTTTTGATCTGCGCTGTTTTGTTGTTATGCCCTCTTTTATCTCAATCTCCACTCCATTATTTACTTTTTTTATCTTTATCCTTTTAATTAAAGGAAAAAAAATAGCAGGATATATTATAGTAACCCACTTTGACTTTTCATTACCTTGATTTAAAGCCCTGTATTACTCTCACCATCTTGTTTTTAACTGATGTTCCCCTATTCTGTTTTGCTGGATAGTATCAGGTTCGAAAGTTTAGGCTCAGCTGTGAAGATAATGAGATTCATTATGAAGCCCATTCTTGTTGACTTTTATCTACTTTTGAAGACCTACAATGTCTCCAACGTTTTGGTTTTGTCCGTTTTATTCTTTACTGTTTTGTTCAATTGTATTATAACTAACGATATAGGCAATTCTATTAGAGATAGCGGGAGGCATTATGGTAACCATTGTTGATCACCTTGTATTATGTTTTTACATTATCTATTATGTCCACCCTTTTGACTTGACCGATTCTGTTCTGTTATGTCACATTTGGTTTTACTCTCTTCCAAAAAAGTAATAAGAACCGTGGGAGCAATGAAACCCAAAATGTGTAATAGTCATGGTACAAAAGAGAGGAAAAGAAAGTGCTCCAAACTATATAACTGCATGTATATTTAAGTGTATAAGATAGAAAATGATATCACAGAGTTTTATTGGATCAATGAACAGAACTGTTTGCAGTATCATTGATGGAATGTCCACTTTACAAGCTTTAATTTTGTAACTTGAACAATTATTTCTAAGATGACAATATGTAATCCATTAACTAGTGATTTCCTACTGTTCATTTTTTTTCTGTAAATCTGTATAACTTGTACCCTTTCCCTGCTTTTTTTTTCTTTTCTCCTTAAATAAAATTTAAAAAAATGTAAAAAAAAACAAAAAACAAAAAACAGCAGGTGCAAAAAGAAAAAAAAAAAAAAGACTGACTCACAAAATAAGCCTTCAGGTGAATTTAAAGTGGAAATTGTGATTGATATAAAGGACAAGAGTATTTGCCTTAAAATGAACTAGCAAGCTTTCACATGGAAAACTTATTCATGTATCAACTCTTGCATTGCTTTTGTTGTTTCCTTGTCTCTTGCCTTTTCAGAGGACAGACATGTGCTTGTTTTCTGTCGCCTCAAAATGGTATGTGTGCAGGGCCAAGTCCAGACTACCTCTGGGGCAGGTTCTTTCCACTTTTTTGTTTTTTTGTTCTCTAAAAGGACGAACTCATTCAGAACTGTTTGCTGAGGGAGGACTGAGAGAAGAATGCTACCGAGGGGAAGGATTTCTTGAAACTAAGAAGGGGAGAGAGATCCATATATGTCTCTAGTAGCAGGACCATAAATAGACTTCTGGCAGTTAGTTTAGGAGGTAACGGGCCTATCCAGGAAGGAAGGGCAATGAATGGGAAGTCAGCGTTCCCCTGCACTGGTCCCAGCAGTGTGAGGGAGCATACCTGCCGTGGAATGCAACAGAGGCTGCTGTGCAGGGCTTAGAGGGGCCAAAGTACACAGACTGACAACCTTAGGTGTCAACCTTAGGTCTGTCTGAGGACAATATTGCAACCAGGAGAGTGATGCAGAGACAAACAGGGTGAGGAGGGAAGGACAGGCCACCAAGGGGCATACAGGCAGTTGCTGGCTGAAGACGTCCCAGCCCCTACATCCTGCGGGAGAGACCAGCCCACACTCAGCACTGGGCCTCCTGCAGACTTGGTGGTGCTACCTAGCACAGATCGTGGCTCTGATTTGAACACTACCACTGAACTGAGAAATTTTATTGTTTTGCTGTTGTTTATTTGTTTTGTTTCCCTTTTTCTGTCTTTATTTTTTTGGGATTTTTTTTTAGTGGTTTAGATTTTCATTTTTATTGCTTGTTATTTTTCCCTCCTTTTTCCTCTTTCCTCAGTTGTCTATCTTGATTTTTTTGATATTTTCACGTGGGTGAATACTGTCTTTAGTCTTTCTGCTTTATCTCAATATTCTTTGACTTTCTCTTTTGTCCTCTTCTCCAGTTTCCCAGCGCTTGGGAGATCATCCTTTGTCCGTCAGCCTTGCTTCTACTAAATTTCTCTTTATCTATTTTTCTTTCATCTCACTTAAATTTTTCTGCCACAGGGTTAAATCATTGTACTAAAGGGAAATTCCCAGCATGCACATTCCTAGTTTATGTTGCATTTTGTTATGTAACTGTAGATCTCGCCCTTGTATTTTTTTTTTTTTTTTATCAGTACTGGGGATTGAACTCACGACCACCTGCTTACAAGGCAGGTGCTTATGCCGCTGAGCTAAATCCCCAGCCCATCGCCCTTGTATTTTAAGGCACCAAATTAATAGTTACCACAGTTTGCCAGTTTCTAGACCATACCTGATGCTATTATTATTGCTAATTTTACTGCAATAGTCAGGGTTGTAATCAGTTGTTCTCCCTTGTAGGACAAAACTGTAATTGTCTGGGATCCTAAGCATCACCCTAGTCCAGTACCAAAGGACTAGATGTTGAGCTAGGTAGAGAGCAACTTCTCATCTGTAATAAATTGGGAAGGTATATCTTGGCACAGACACAAAGGC